TGATATAATTGTTTGTTTTGGATCTTTTAATAGCTGCTACCTGATCCCGTTGACACCTCAGGATCACATAGGCTGGTGTGCTTCTTCCATGTGAACTCTGTTGCTTCTCAGCTAGGTGGCCGCTTGTTTATCTTCAAGCCTTTAAGACCCCAGATGCTATATCTTTTGATAGCTGGCCACTATCAGATTCTTCACCACATTTGCTTATGTACCTGCTTTGTCTTCAGATCGTGTTGAGAAACTGAGCAACCCGGAATGCCAGATTATTAGAACAAAGTGTTCTGGTGTAGAGGAAGTGTTTGAGTAGAGGCCCAATGTCCGTCTGCTTCCTTAGTACTTAACATTATATATATATATATTTCCCTATCGTTATGTATAAACATATTTACATATGTTCATGTCTGTATTTAGACCTCTATTAATGCCCTTTGCCTCCTAGTTCTTTCCTCTACTTCCTTTTACTTTTTGGAGTTCTTTTGTAATACCGAAATTCCCCTTGTTACCTAGTGATTTACTTACCCAGAAACATAATTCTCTAAGGCAAAGTAATATAAAGGCCTAATTATTTTCCTTAATTGTCAATTTAAGGAATAAGTTGACACAGTTATTTTCAGTTGGCTTAGTTTGGTTTTTATTGATTTGTTTGTTTTCAGTATCACTATATAAGTATGTTTTTTAATTCTGTGTCTCTTAATTAACTTCTGTCAATCTTTTTTGATGTTCATTCTGTGACATCATTCACTAATGGGAGCTCCTGTACACTGACTCCTCTGTAGAATTGGTCTTTATATGATGCTGTTAAAAAACATTTATTACTTTAATTCCATCAAAGCTACTTGAGTAAATTCACACACGATATGACACTACCAGTAAATACTAGAAATTTACTTTCTGCATCTAAAAAGTATCTGATTTTTCTATAAAGTAATGTTTTTAAAACTTACACATTTTAGATAAATGATTAACTGCTTTTCTTGTGTTGTGTCTTAACAGGCCAGGGTCAAGCCCCACCGGACTTTCAGATTTAATGAGTGTGTCTGTACACCGTACAATGCAGATTTTGATGGCGATGAAATGAATCTTCATCTTCCTCAGACAGAAGAAGCTAAAGCAGAGGCTCTTGTGCTTATGGGGGTATGTAAGGTGGCATGGTCCTTAACAAAAAGTGATTGCTTAGAAACACCACCACAATAGGTAGCTCCAACAAAGTCATACTCTTCTGTTCTTAGCTCTATTAACTAACCAGCGTGACACAGCCTCATCTCTTTTTATTAGTTGACTTTGAGCCACTGATCATTTTCTTTCTTTCTTCTAAAAAAATTCATTTTATTGGGGGCTCTTACAGCTCTTATCACAATTCATACCTACATCCATTGTGTTAAGCACCTTTGTACATATGTTGCCGTCATCATTTTCAAAAACATTTTCATTCTGCATGAGCCCTCGGTTGCAACTCACCCCCCTCCATGAACCCTTGGAGTTAAAAATAAGTTATTATTTTTTTCATGTCTTATACCAACCGCTGTCTCCCTTCATCCACTTTTCTGTTGTCTGTCCCTCTGGGAGGGGGTTATATCTCGATCATTGTGATCAGTTGAGCCTCTGAACATTTTCATTGAAAATTATGGTGCATCACCGAATTAGTATTTATAACGAGTACTTATTGGAGAGGGCTGAGCATTTTCTGACTTATAAATGTGAGGGGGCTTCAAAAAGCTCATGGAAAAATTAAGTTAAAGTGTATTGGAGTTTTTGCACATGTTTTTCTGCGGTCCCCAGATAAGACAACATTATATATAGCAAGGCCATTGTACAGTATATAGATAACATTTGGGAAGGAATTATTCTATATAATTTCTAGTAGGTTTTCTAGTAGCTAGAGGTTTCTTAAGCATTGATATGCTTTATTTGAGCAACCTGAATAGAAACTTTCCTAACATGTATTACATGTATTAGAGTTGAACTACAATATTCCATGTTCACTACAGAACCCAGCCCGAATGCAGCGGGGCGTGGTACTTAGTGTGGAGATTTGGTGGTGGGCTTGGAGGAGGGTTTTACCGTGGACCTTGCCTAGGTCCTCCATGACAAGTTGAAAGATAATGAAGTGTTTACTGTATAATGCATTTTGTATGCATAGTTAAGGTTTTCCTTGGGAAATTTGATTCTTTAAAGGAAGGCATGTGGCTAAAATAGACTGAGATCTCCAACTTTTTGGAGTCAGACTTGCTACCGTTGTGCCACGAGGTCAGCCAATCTCCAACATTTTTTCTTTTTAAATCATTTTATTGGGGCTCATACAACTCTTATCACAATCCATACATACATCAATTGTGTAAAGCACATTTGTACATTTATTGCCCCCATTGTTCTCAAAACATTTGCTCTCCACTTAAGCCCCTGGCATCAGCTCCTCATTTTCCCCTCCCTCCTTGCTCCCCCCTCCCTCAT